CTTTAGCTATATGTTACTTTTAAAGTAATTTTTATTTTTATCTCTATTAGACTGGTATTATGCTTCATCTCAGAATGCCCCTTTATAGGGGAGGGAGAGTAAATGAAATGATAATCATATAAATGTATTATTCTACCAGTGTTGATTTTGTGAATAAAATGGCTTTATAGGTTGACTTTAAGCCTATCAATGTAGAGAATAAGGAATGAATGTCCAATAAAGCAGAATTTACTAACTATTGGTTAATACCATTATCTTCCTTACTAAACAAGGTATCTTTTTCATTTAAACATTCATTCTAGTAACATTCATTGTAAACAGTTTTACTATGAAAGACTTTAACTGTCCCTATTCACTATTTTGCTTTATTGTTGTTGTTCACTCATTTCAGTTGCGACTAACTCTTCATGACTGTATTTGGGTTTTTTTGGGGGGTGAAGGGGGGTACCAAGATATTAGAGTGGTTTGCTGTCTCTTTCTCTAGTGCATTTGACAGATGAGGAACTGAGGCAAACAGGGTTAAGTGACTTGCCCATGTCACATAACTGGAAAGTATCTGAGGCCAGATTTGAACTCGGGAAGATGAGTCTTCCTGACTACAGGCCAGCACTCTATCCGCTGCACCATTTAGCTGCCATTATTGCAGTCCTGTAATTTGGTTCTTTAAATACCCTAACACAAACTTTAAAAATAAGCATAAGGAGAAGGAATTACTATTCTTCATGTTTTTGAATAACAGAACAAGGGAAAATAAACTTGAATGGCAAAATCAAGGTTTTAAATTAGCCACGAAGAATTTAGTACTGAATTTGGAGTCAGAGGAACCATGTAGAAGAATTGAGCACTAAATCCAACTCAGTCAAGAGGCTGTGAACATTTATTAAGCACCTACTGTGTGCTAAACACTGTACTAAGTACCAAGGATACAATAAATGATAGTCTCAACCCTCACGGAGATTACAATGTAATGGCAGCAGCAACATATCAACAACTATGTACAAACAAACATACTAAATTCAGGACAAATGGAGATAATCAACAGAAGTAAGGCACTAGAATTAAGAGGGATTGAGAAAAGTGGGGAAAAAAATCCAATCTTCTCTAGAATATTTGAAGAATTCAGGGAAGCCAGAAGGCAGAGATGAGAAGAGAAAGCATTCAGGCATCAGGGACAACTAGTGAAAATGCCCAGAGTCTGATGTGCTGGCTTGACTGTCTTTAATGGTTTAAAAAGAGAGAGTTTTATAAAAATCTTTGCAGATCCTTTCCGTCTTTCCTTTTTCTCCTGTCTTCCTTTCAGTTTCATCCTCTGTATGACTTTGCTTTGTTAGGTCCCTTATTAAGCTTTTGAAAAAGTTGTTTGACCCACCATGATTTATCTATCCCATGAGGTAATAATTATTAATAATCTTATACCATCCTTCCCTGTAAGATTTTATATATGGGCTTATATCTGAAACTTGTGTTGCCATTGGTTGCCATATCTTTCCACTTGACAGGTAAGTCAAGTGTTTGCTAAACCATTTTTTAAGCTCTTTTAGTCTCTTCATTATGGTGATTGATCAACTAAACTTTCTTACGAAATTATTTATTGTTGGTGTCTTCCATCTGTATCCCATTTTTATCAGTAATTTAATTAGGTACGGTTTTACCTGTTTTAATTATACAAATATCTTTCTTATAACTTTGTACAACTTTTGACTTTGCCCTTATACATTGGAGCTCTGACAGCTGATTCAGGAATGACTCCCACATCAAAGTATATTAACATGTAATAAGTTTCATTTTTCACAATGTCATTCAGTCTTCCCAGTACTCAATGCCTTCCAATTCTTGTCTCGAAGAAAATGTTCACGATAGAGGCTTCTGTGTAGCAACAATTGTTTTACCGCTTATTCTTTATTCCTAGTATGTATTTTCCAACATATTTTTTTGCTATTCTGACCTATTTCAACTTATGCATTAAAGTCATCAAATATCAAAGGGTTTTATCTCAACCTTCTTCCTTTTTGTTTTGTTTTCTTTTAATTATAGCTTGAATATTGTTAAAGCCCTTCACAATCTGGCTCCTTCCTTTTCAGTCTTCTTACACCTTTCTCCCCTCCATGTAATCCAAGAAGACTTGCAATCTTGCTATTCCTCACATATGACAATATCTCAGACATTGGCTAATCTCCATGCCTGAAATCCTCTTCCTCCTCACCTCTACCTCCTGGAATTCCAGAAGGCTCAGCCCAAATCCACTTTTAATTGAGCCTTCCCTTAGATTAAATCCCATTTATACTGTATATAGTTTGTGCGTATGTAGTTGTTTGCATGTTGTCCCCTTAGACTGGGAGCTCCTTAAGGTAAAGACTGTGTCTTTACCTTTTTTCATATCCTCAACACTTACCATAGTGCCTGACAGATAGTAGGTGCTTAGGAAATGGCTTTTGATTTATTAAATTTAGACATTCCAGTAGTATATCCACTAAATCACTGGACAAGTATCTCAGATTCAGAGTCCCAGAATCTTAGAGTAAAGTTTGTAGGTAACATTTTCTTCCACTCTCACTGCCAAAGTCAAAAGAAGCTGCACAGGACTAAGGGACATTTTATATTTTTCTTTGTATCATGAGTTGTTGTGGCCAAAGACTTCATTACCAACTAGCCAGCTTACTGGTGATGAACCTCTCTTCTGTTAGGTGGTTCAGCAGACCCACTGGGTCACAAAAGATTTTCCAGCATGGTAGAATCTTCTTGAGTATGTGCTCTACTAAAATATATTCTCTGATATATAAGAAGTACTATAAGATGTTAATGTCCCAGAGATCGTTTGTGGGTGTTTTTGAGTGGAAGTATTTGATAGTCACTTAATATGATAATAACCAGAGGTCAAGAGTTAGAAAGGACTTCTAAAGCCATCCTCTGCAACCTGTAAGAATAAGAATCCCTTCTATATCATCCCCAAAAATTGTTTACATGGAGAAGGCAGGAAAATGTCATGTTTGCCAAGTGAATTTTTACTGAATGAGGCTTATTCATTGTATCTTTAATATCTCGATCCCTATAATTTCCACTCATACTAGAAATTTGACTGGTGTTTGTGACTTTGCAGGATTTTTTTTTTTTTGGTTTTCATTTAGTTTTTTTAATAAAAGCAAAGTTATTTTCTTCTGAAGTGCATCCATCCTTTTCTTGATGACTTAGTGGAAAAGCAAATACCTTCTGAGTCAGCCCATTCTACTTTTGGATAGCTCTTACTGTTAGTTAAGTTTTTCCTTATGTCAATCCTAAATCTGCCTCTTTGGCACTGTCTGTTTTTTGCTCGTAGTTCTGCCCTCTGAAGCTAAGCCAAATAAGTTTTCTTACATTTGACAGCATTTAATATGCTACAAAACAGATATCAAGCTAAACATCTCCTTTACACCATGGGATTCCTTTACCCTATATTCATGTGTTAAACTTCAAGGCCCTTCACCATTCTACTTACTTTTCTCTGCATATTCTATAGCTTATCAGTGACATTTCCAAAATGTGACACTCCGAATTGAGAAAACAATCACAGATGCTTTGAAGTATTGCAGAGAAATATAATAGAAAATTATTTCTGTTTTCACTGAAAGTATTTTCTTTAGCAGTAGTCTCCAATACCCCCTAAATGTTTAATAAGTCCATTCTGTATAACTTAACACTTCATTGTAGATCATTTTCTCTTTTGATATTGATATTTTCTTCTATCATCTTAGTGAAAAATAACAGGGACTCTTATTAATGGATAGTTCAGATATAACAAGGAAATATGGAGAATCATATCCATATATGTATAGATAAATGTGTATATATCTATCCATATACATATGTATGCATAAGTGTGTATAAAATATGTATATAACAATCCCACATTGGGTCTCTTCTTGCCCAAGCAAACTAAAGAAATCAACTAAATCAGCTCAACCATTCCTTTAAGTTTAGCCTGTAATTGGGTTCTCTACATATGAGGCTAGATCAGTGTCATAGAGATGTGGGGTTTTTTGTTGTTGCTCTTTTTAATTTTAATTTAAAGTTTCCAATTCTCTCCTTCTCCCTCCTCCCTGTTCATTGAGAAGACAAGAAATATGATACACATTATACATATGAAATTATGAAATCATATAAAGCATGTTTCCACATTATCTATGTTGTTAAAAAAAAAGAAGCAAGAAAAATAAAGAGGAAAAAAAAGTATGCCATCAATCTGCGCTCAGAGTCCATAAGTTTTCTCTCTGGAGGTAGATAGCATTTTTCATCATGAGTCCTTTGGAATTGTCATGCACCATTGTATTGATCATAGTTTGTAAGTTTCACAGTTAATTATCTTTACAATATTGCTATTACTGCGTATATTTTTCTGGCTCTGCTCACTTCACTCTGCATCATTTCACATAAGTCTTTCCAGATTTTTCTAAAACCATCCTGCTCATCATTCCTTACAGCACGATACTATTCCATCACAATCATATACCATAACTTATTCAACCATTTCTCAATTGACATTTCTAATTCTTTGGCAGAGTTTTGATTTTTTAAAATTAAATACAGAGTAGGTTTATATAGTAAGACAGATGTTGCTCTATTTGTAGTACCAGTCATTCAGAAATTCCCAATTGATGTCATAAAGAAGTTATAAAGTATGTGTTTTAGAGGAGTAAGAGTCTTCTAGTTTGTGTATATTGGTTACTCTGAATCATATAGACGCCTCTATCCAACCTTTCCTTTCAAAGAACTTTCCCCATTTTTCCTCTTGTTTTGCTCTCTGATAAACAAGTCTATGTACTACACCATATTAGACAGTGATGTTAGGTTTTTTTCCCCAAGAATGACTCAAACACGAGCAAATATTGAGTCACATTTTGAGTGCATTTCACCAGAGTGGAACAAAGCAAGAAACTTGGACAAATTATTTCCTGTTTTTTATTTCTAATTTTATGAGATAAGTTCAAATTTATTCTCTTTCTCACTGTTTGATTTCTTGCTTGCAGAAACAGATGACTACGCTGAGATTATAGATGAAGAAGATACTTATACAATGCCCTCAAGTAAGTAACTGAATTTTTAAACTTTTCTTTTGCCTCTATTTTTTTAACTTATTTAGATTTTACAGATAGTATATCAGATTTGAGTTTCACATAATATATTCAAGTGGAAAATTACTTTAGTCCTTCTGTGAAACTTAAGAAAGTTATACTTTTTGGGGCACCTAGGTGGTGCAGTGGATAGAGCACTGGCTCTGGATTCAGGAGGACCTGAGTTCAAATCTGGCCTCAGACACATAACACTTACTAGCTGTGTGACCCTGGGCAAGTCACTTAACCCCATTGCCTAGCCAAAAAAACAAAAACAAAAAAGAAGAAGAAGAAAGTTATACTTTTTAATTTCAAGAATTTTGTATCATCTAACATTTGCCAGGTATCATTTCTGAAGTAATAAAGGCCAAAGTCTATGATTATCTTGACTAAAATATCATACGTTTAAACTCAGGTTCACAGAATCTATTTCTATTTCCCCTTCTATATACAAAATAGAGGACCATTGGAAATGCCATTATTTTAGAAATTTCAACTTCAAAATTAAATTAACTGAATAATTTAATCACTCAGCTTGCACACACAAATTAAAATTAATGGGCCTCCTAATATAGTCTTAAGCTAAGTAGAAACATCCTCCATTTAAGTGTAGTGAAGCATGATCCTTGAACTTGAGAAAATAGTAAATAAACTTTTTGTTTCTCTTAAGGTGACAACCTATAATCAAGAGTTCCCGTCATTTTTTGAGAATACAACAGTCCCCTGATTTTATACTAAATATACCCTTCAATTTTATTTCCTTAAAAACAGTTAGACTGACCTCCAAAGGAGGTTTTTCATATTTCTCTCCACTGCTTTCAGGAAAATGAATTATAAGAAATTGATATTGTAAATTATTTGATATGTCTTAGACATTTTAAAAAATAAATGTTTCAAATAAGAAACTCCTGCTTCATATATTTAGAAAGGCCCTATACCCTGAATTTAATATGGGCATCAAATAAGCAGCTATTGCTGAAGAAGAATACTGATGGAAAAGGTCATTATCTACCACTCTAGATTACTCTATCTGCCTTTTAGCATTTTAAAAATTTTAGTACAGCCTGGAGGGAGAGGACCTAGAAGCAAGATTGTAATTTGACCATTTTGCTTAATATTCACAGTTCTTATCAATACCTAGGTTTGAGTAGAGGTTATAAAGATCGAAGATCATCTATACATTCTCAACTTTTGTGATTCTGGTCTGTCTTCCCATGAATCCTTAACAGAACATTTACCTAACACCTTTGAGCCCTTCTTCTATGTCTGCTAACATTTCATGGAGGCCTTACATAGTGGTGCTTACCTGTAATTCCTGTTGGTCTGGGAAACTGTAGTTGGTGGATCCCTTGTTCAGAGATTCTGAGCTTCCATAAGGCTAAAGTTGATTTGCTGTCCACACCACGTCCAGCACTAAAGCTGGAGGGTGGGAGTGGAGAGACGAGGCAGCACACAGGGTTACCGAAGTGTGATAGTGGGGAACCATCCCAGGTCTGAAAAACGGAACAAGTTAACTTCTATACTTGTCAGCATTTGGATCTGGCCCATGTGTGGCCACTGTCCTTCATTCCAGGAAAGATAGAAAGAAAAAATGTTGTCTCACCCTTCCGCACCCCACCCCTCAAATTATGGATACCAGTATAACGTTTAGAGTCTAAACTTTAGGTTGACCTTTATGGAATCTTGTTTTTCCTTCATACAAGATAGGGCATAAGCATATATTACTTACAGTTCATTTATGTGTGTGTATCGGTTGGGTGATTTCCATCAAGTATCAAGAGTTTAATACTGAAGGTTAAAGTATATTATTTCACTAATGGGAACTGACCAGTTAAAAGTATTTGACTCTATCAAGCCATTTTTATCTTGAAATTCAAGGGCTAATTTTATGTTTTAAAAAGTTAAAAATAATATATGGATTTAGCACAATATCTAGTTTCAAAGCGATGTTTTATTAAAATTGGTGATCTAATTTTTTAAGCTCACATTGATTTTTTTCAAATTCTTTTTTATATTTGAGCTTGATAAAAACAAAACTATCATTTTAATATACAAGGAAGCATAGAAAAGGATAATACATATGAATCTTCAGATCTCTGATATATTCAGTTTGTTTCCTTTTTAAAATTTTCCATGTTAGTTTCAAAACTGCCCTACTTGTCTCTATTTCCCTTTGAACCTTCTTCTATTTTCTTTGCATTCCTTTTTGTTTAATTAATATTCTTTTTTTTTCTTTGTCTCTTTTTCTTGGGCATTTCTATCACTTTTAGGCTCTCCCAATTCTGTTCTCCCAATTTTTAAAAATTCTTCTTTGTAACAAATAAACAGAGTGAATGTCTTAAAATTCACACATAAGCTGTCTTAAAAATGTTTGTCTTATTCTGTGCTTGTATTCCATTACTTCTCTATTAAGAAGAGGGAAGCGTGTTTCATCATCTGTCCCCTGATGTCCTGTTAAATTACTGTGTTGGTTACAGTCCTTAAGCCTTCAAAAATTACTTTGCTTTGCAATGTCATAATCATTGTATAAATTGTTTCCCTGGTTCTACTCACTTCACACAAGTCTTCCTAGGTTTCTCTTTATCTATCCCTTTCATCATTTCTTATAATATAATAATATTCCATTTCATGCACATAGTATAATTTATTCAGCTATTTCCCAATTGATGGTCACTCTCTTCATTTCCAGCTGTTTGTTATAATAAAAATTGTTGCTATGAATATTTTTGTACAGATGGGTCCTGTCTCTCATTCTTTTATCTCTTTTGGGTTGTATTACTGGTAGTGATATCACCGGGTCAAAGTATATGTGTGATTTAATGATTTAAGGGGGTTATATAGTTTCAAAATGCTTTGTAGAAGCTCATGTTGTCTTATGAAGACATTCTGTACCTACATGTACATTTTTGTTTTACTTGTTAAGTTTTTCATTTTAATCCTATGTTATCTCAAGATATTTCGTAAGAGTAAACATTGTTAAGATAAGCTTTCCACATTTCTTGTTATTAATTTAATTAATATTAGATATTTCTAAGCAAGGTCTTCAATTTTTTTCTCTCTTAATTGCACTACAGAAAGCTATGGAATAGATGAAGGTAACAGGATTCCCTTAAAATAATTGTGTTTGCCTGCATTTGCAACCTGTGGAGTGACATGGGATGTTTCTGTTTAAAACTCTTTATTTTATTTTCAAATTTTTATGTTCATTGGTTTAATTACACAGTTAAATCAATGGATTTACTACTAGCTAAAATTATTTTAAAGAGGAAAATATTTTGTTTCTTAAAATGTAAATTCTAGTTCAAATTATTTTCTTAGATAATAGTATATAATGATAGGAATAAGGGCCTAAGATAGTTTAAAAATCAATTTTTCCCATTAGTAATAGTATTTAGACTGATGGGAGAAGGAGATATCTACGTATCTACATAGATATATATATATATACACATATATATATAGAGAGAGAGAGAGAGAGAGATACACAGAGAGAGAGAGATACATTTCAGAGTTTTTTCTTAACTGAAATAAATTAAATTGTATTTAAATTATTAAATTGGAATTCAGGTGCTCATTCCTTGAACTAATGAGTAGTTTGTTCTATACACAACCAGTGTACTAAATCATTTTTAATACATAAATCTCAATATCTTAATTTGCTAATTTGAAATAAATATCTACTATTAGTAGAGTAACATCTTCAAATTATTTATGCCAATACATTATAAACTTTAATTGTTCATTCATCTGGTTTTAGAATTGATTTTTAGAAACAGCCTCTTTAAAATTCTTTTTAGCTCAGTGGATAATGTAGAAATATGACATCATAAAGTGGAAAGCTCTTAAACTTCCAAAATATAAGAGTTATATTACATATTTTATTGGAATGATAAACTTCTTCCATCTTTTTATAATATGGATTCTTTAGGTAAATCTTATCTCTATAGGATAAAAATGTTAATAGCAACACTAATATTCATTAAGCATCTAAATTTATATTTGGAGCAGGAATTCAGAAAATACAGTTTGATATGTTTTTCTGTGATGTATTTACTGTCACCCATTTAGGGATGATAGGTGATACCTAAAGTCTCTTCCACTTTTGAGATTCTCAGAGTATTTGAAATCAAATAAATTTTTTAAGTTCCTGGTGAGAATATATGTAAGTCCACCCTAAATCTAATTAATATTTATGGCACTGTCACCACTGAATATTTCTTTGCAGCCTATTTGCATCTGCAGCCTTTCCTTTCAAGCTATGTTTAAGAGTATTCCACTGTATATAAAACATTTCCATAGATTGGTGTGTCACAGATTAAAATTTTATTTATATGTTACATCAAAATAAGATGTTTCAATTATTATTCTTTCCACCCCTGAAATGATGTTGTTAAATACTTTGTCACTTACGGCTTGTCTTTTACAGCCAGGGATTATGAGATACAAAGAGAAAGGATAGAACTTGGACGCTGCATTGGAGAAGGCCAGTTTGGAGATGTACATCAAGGAGTTTACATGAGTCCAGTAAGTCCCTTAGCGCTTTCCACAGAAGTTTCCTGGCTTAAACCACTGGCTAGTTTTTGTGATCTTTGATGTCCTATGTCATCATTGCCTTTTGTTTTATTATCTATGAAGTGGCATGGCTATATGGATGGTCTTGAAGTTCCCTCCCAGCTCTGAGTCAAGTCTGCAAGTCAAATCAACAAGCATTTATTAAGTGCCTGCTATGTTATGTGCCAGAGGACTGTGCTAAGCTCTGGGGATGCCAAGAAAAGCACTTCCCTACTTTCAAAGGAGCTCATAGTCTAAAAGAGTAGACAACATGCAAACTGCTATGTACAAACATGGTATATACAGAATAAATTCAAACTAATCTCAAAAGAAAGGCAATAAGATTGAAGAGGACAGGGAAAAGCTTCTTGCAGAAGGTGGTTCTTTGGCTGAAACTTGAAGAAAGTCAGAGTTGCCAAGAGGCAAAGGTAAAGAGAAAATTCTAGGCATGGGGGAATAGTCAGTGAAAATGGCCAGTTCTGCTATATACATGGCAATGCTTTTTTTTTTTCATGTTTTATATATAAATTTATAACATGTTTCTTTTTCTTTTCTTACTGTGTATTTAAATTTTAGTATTTAAGTTTAAAATAAATTAATAAAGAAGAAAATGTTCAGAGTGAGGAGATTGGGTGCTTTGTATGAAGAACAATGGAGTCAGTGTTACTAGATTGAATAGTATATGAAGTGTAGGTTAGGTGTAAGAAGATTGGAAAGTTAGGAAGGGACCAGGTTATGAAAAACTTTGAAAGCTAAGCAGTATTTCATATTTGATCTTGAAGATAAGAGGTACCCACTGGAGTTTATTAAGTGGAGGAAAAAGGATTGATATGTCAGACCTGCACTTAGGAAGATCAGTTTGACAGTTCAACGGGGAAAATGGACTGGAGTGTGGAGATACTTGAGGCTAATTAGACAAACCAGTAGGCTATTGCAGTACTTCAGGTTAGAGGTGATGAGGACCTGCAGCACGGTGGTGACAATATCAGAAAGGAAAAGGTGCATATACCAGAGATGTTACCAAGATAGAAACAACAGGGCTTGGAAAGTCATTTGATATAAGAAGTAACAGGAAAGTTAGGAAGAAGAGAGGGTTTGAGGGCAAAGATAATGAGCTCAGTTTTGGACATGTTGAGTTTCTGTAATTCTAGGAAAACAGAGTTAATGTCTTATAAATTTTATTACATAAATAATACCAAGTATGAATGTCAGAGGTTTGAGTTCTCTTAAATATATCTCACTGCATCTGGGATTTTCTAGGAATATTTTTGTTTTGTCTTGGTGATATTTTAGAGGAATAAAATTTGTATTACATCTTGCCCTACTGTTACATTTAGAAGTACAAGTAATGCCAATAAGACTTACGTTTTATCTGTGGTTCTCCAGAAAACCCAATGTGCCTTTTTCTCAGTCTTCATCCTTCTTGATCACTGCATCATTTGAAACTGTTAATCACCCCCCTCCTTCAAACATTATTACTAAGTGCTTTCTGTATGCTAAGCACTGGGGATTCAAAGACAAAAACAAACCAGTCAGCCCTTGCCTTCAGGACCTTATATTGTACTGAGAGGGAATCCTGGATGCTCTCTTCCATTAGTTCCTGAGTTGCTATACTCTCCTGGATTTTGGTTTTTTTTTTCCCCTGCCTATCTAACCATTCCTTCAAAATCACTTTGACTGACTTTTCTTCCTGACCTCTTAAAGTGGAGGTCCCCCTAGGTTCTGTCTTTGGCCTTCTCTTCTTTCTCCATGATTTTTCCTTTGGCATTTTCATTCAGTCACACACTTCCAACTGTCACCTCTATTCCTCCAGGTATAATTGAAACCGCAGGGCAGCCTAGGGGAGAGCAAGAGGTGCCAGGCAAGCCAAACCACCACCACCATGACCACCACTTCTCCTCAGACCCCACTGGAGATAGCCAAGGACACTTAACCCAAGAGCCTTAGGAATAGCAGTAGTCCCAAGACCACTGACTCCTGCTTTCAGCTTAGGCTCCATCGCCGTCATTTAAGGGAATAGTCATTGTGAAGAAGGGGCCCACTTTCCTTGCCACCAACAGTAGTGAACAATTGTCACCATTGTGCATGTGAGCCCAAGAGCCCCGACAGCACCCTCCAGACCATTGAAGGTCCTAGCCCAGCCTTCACAGCCATCATCTCAGGAAGCAATCCCTGTGGAGAGGCAACATAACTGTTTCTGTAGATGCTAGGATCCTCGCTTTTTCAGTAGCTATAGCTCCTAAAGACCTAGAAAACAAAAGTTTTCACAAAGTCCTTACCATTGTTAGATGGTTCAACATCAGAAACTGTTAAGCTTATCAGTAGAAATGACATTACATTATTATATTATTAATATGCATTAGTATGTATATGTATGTATATATGTGTGTGTGTACGTATATATATAGCCAATCCTCTAGGGATCATGGGACCTTTTCATCTGACTTGCAACTTAAACCTATAGAGGATGTTCCAAAAGTCTTAGTTCAGTTTTGAGCTATTTAAACTATTAAAGCTTGGACTTTTGGGACACCCCACATATGTTGTCTCTTCCATTAGAACATAGAATTCTTTTTTTTTCTTAATTTCTTTCTTTTAAATAGTATTTTAAATTGTATTTTATTTCCAATTACACGTAAAGACAATTTTCAACATTCATTTTTAATACAAAATTTTTGAGTTCCAGGTTTTTTTCCTTCCCTAATTTGGTATTTGCGAACACATTTTCGTATTAGTCAAGAACGTGGACTTCTTGAAAGCAAGGACTGTCTTACATTGCTATTTCTATCCCTAGTACTTAGCCACAGTGCTTTTTTGTACATAGTAAGTGCTTAAAATCTATTTTCATGCATTCATTTATGTGCAACTTGACTTCTTTCCCAATGTCCATCCCAGCATCTCCAGTGATCCCCAGGACATCTATACCTGCATACTCTATCGTTGGTTTAAAATCACCCTAGACAAAACCAAACTCATTGTCTTTTCCTCTAAAAGTATTCCTTCCTCCCTCTGATTTTATTTCTCCATGGCTCCATCCAGGCTCTCATGTTCATATATGATTCTTGATGTTGCTTCTCCTCCCATATCTAATCAGTTGCCACATCCTGATGATTGTACCTTTAAAATAACTCTCAAGTCTGCTTGTATTCCTAATCCCATCACCCTAGTGCAGGTACTCATTACCATTTGCCTAAACTAGTATGTTATCCTAACTAGTATTCCACCTTCTCTCTCCATCCCCATTTCCCAATCATTTTCCACAAAATTGCCAAATTAATCTTCCTCATGTCATTTCATGACAAAATCCTGCAATTGTTCCCACTAACCCACCAGAAAAAAGTTCAGAGACTTAATGTTTAAATTCCTCCCCAGCCTAGCACCACCCATTTTAACAGCAGTGTCTCATGTTACTTTTTTCCGTATATTTACCTTAAAGGCAAGCCAGGCAACTTGCTGTTCCCTATGTCTGAAATGCAGCCACTCCTCTCTACCTTTGCTTTAACAGGTATTCTTTTTTTTTTTTAAAGCAAGTCTTTCCATGACACCTTCTCTTCATGTTTATGAGTGCAGTGGGAAAATTACAGAATTTAGAGGCTTTAAACCTGCGTTTAAATCCTGATCCAAATTCAAATCCTGGCTCTGACATTGAAGTATGTTCCCCTAGGCAAATCACTTTTCCTTTCTAGCAGTGGTGTCAAACGCAAATAGAAATGGATCCCTGAGCCACAGACCACAAATTAACATTACCTATGTTGTCTTATATTTTTATTTATTTTGTTAAACCTTTCCCAATTGTATTTTAATCTGATTCTGCCATTTGTGGCCCAGGAAGGTGATCCCTCGCCTCTATAGAACCCAGTTTCTTCATCTGTAAAATGGAGGGGTTGGGGGCAGCTAGGTGGCACAGTGAATAGAGCGCCGGCCGAGAAGTCAGGAGGACCTGAGTTCAAATCCAGCCTCAGACCCAACACTTGCCATGTACAAGCTATGTGACCTTGGGCAAGTCAGTTAACCCCAATTGCCTCACTAAAAAAATAAATGAAATGAAATGAAATGAAATAAAATGGAGGGGTTAGACTAAATACACTGCAAGCTTCCTTACAGTTCTAAATCTATAAACTCTCATAATTATTTCTTCGCATTAGACTTTTTTATATACTGTTGTTTACACTTCTCCCTGGCACCCAGCATAGGTTGTTTTAGTATTATGGTTATTTATATTTTATATCTTTTTGGTAGATAGTAAATTCCTTATAAGCAATGATCATGTCTGATTAAACTTTCATCTCTTTTCTTTCTGTGTTCTTTCTTTAGATAATCCATCTCCCAACAGGCCCATTATCCCCTCTGTGCAGATAACACTCAAATCTATATATCAACCCCTAATTTTTTCCCTGATCCCTAGTCTCCATTGGCCTGTTAGATATCTCCACCTAGCTTCTGCTGCTGCACCTAAAACTCAACATGTCAACATGTCCTGAACTGAACTCATCAATCACTTTCCCAAGCTTAACTCTTTTCTGAATTACTCTGTTTCTTTTCATGATGCCACCACTTTCCTAGTCACCCCTTCATGGAAGTGTTAGGTTCACAGGTGTTGTACATTACACTTTTTAAAAAACTTTTTCAATGTGTCAATTAGTTGTGATGATTTTTTTTCCTCTTTATGAAAGACTATTTGTTATGTGGAGTGACTCTCCAGCAGGGGGAGTTAGAAGGCAGTCAGGAATAACGATAATGATCTATAAAATGGAAGGCATCCATAAAAACTTATTTTTAAAAAAATGTGATTTTGGGCTTTGGTTTTCTGGACCATGGCTTCAGATTTAGGAGTGACAGTCTCCAGGCCAGGGATGAAGTATACATAATGAAGTCAGCCATCTAGCAAGTAGTGAGTGCTTGCTATTTGCTAGACACTGTGCTACACACTGAGGATACAAAGAAAGGCCAAAAAAACAGTCTTTTCTCTCAAGGAGCTCATAATCTAATGGACAGCTAAGAATTTATTTGAAAAACTAATTAAAAATTAACTATAAAGCAAATCAGTCAGCAAGCATTTCATAGGTTTCAAGCATGTAAACCTCAACACACTATATAAATGTCAGCTATCATTATTATCATAATGATGAGGAAACTCAGCCATCCTAACATCTGTAAGTGTATATTTTCACAACAAAAATGAAATCAGCTGATAAAATTTTAGTTTATCCTGATGGTAAAATTTAATCCTTCAAAAGGTAGAAGAAATAATGAGGGATACTGCTATCATAAGCCCCATTCTTAAAACAAGGAGGAACTGCCTTCTGCAATAGAAATAGGAATCTTATAAGGAAGAAACTATTTCATCTTACTATTTGAGATAAAAGAGAAGAAACTTAGGTATCTTCCAATATGCACCCAAAATTTTGAGAAGCTGAATTTCAGTGGGTTTAGAAGGAAGATTGATGTGATTCCTTGGCCTAAAATTCTTAAGGAAAAATTTTCTGAAGAGAGATAAGAAACTCTCAAGAATGACATTCTGAAGAAGCTAACAGAAACAACTCCAGATTAGAGGAAAAGAGAGAGGTATATAAACAGGTGTGGACAAACAACTCAGGTGTTTAACAGTCACATACAGAAAATAGAAGCAAAGGCAAGTAGACAAAGATAAATTTTTAAAAAGCAGCATGTTCTTGTTAATAATCTCATTAGGAGTGTTAGAGCCCAGAATGAGCTAAGCCTGGCAGTGAATGTGAAGGACAGCAAAAATGTTATAGGCAAGAAGAAAATCAAAGAACATAGAACTGCTGCTTGGGAAAGAAGGGGTAACTATGAGAGATGAGGGAGAAAAGACGAGATACCCAACTCTTACTTTTCTTCTATTTTCATAGCAGAGATAGTGTTTGAACTTTGAAGGGTAGAATAAAAAGATTATTCTGGAGTTAATTCATTATTAATGAGTATATAGTAAGAGAAGACCTAGTATGGTTTTTTGTTTGTTTTTGTTTTTTAGGCAATTGGGGTTAAGTGACTTGCCCAGGGTCACACAGCTGGTGTCAAGTGTCTGGTCTGAGGCCGCATTTGAACTCAGGTCCTCCTGACTCCAGAGCCAGTGCTCTATCCACTGCACCACCTAGCTGCCCCCCAGCTATGTTTTGTCAATCAGTCAATCAACAAACATTTAAGACTCTACCTAAGTGCCAAGTTCTGTGCTACTCACAGAGGCTACAAAGATTATTTTTAAATCCCTTTCCTCAAGGACCTTACATTCATTGACTAAACAAGATAGATACATGTAGATAGATAGACAGATAACAGGAATAGACACACACACACACACACAAACACACACACACACGCACAAATATAAGAGGTGTTGGGGTGGGAGGGGATTGGAATCAGGCACCAGTATGGAGGATCAGGAAAGGATAAGAAAGAAAATTGTGAAAGTGTATCCACCAAACTAAATACCATAGAGAAATGTTACAATGTAGGAAGAATTTCCATCTACAGAGAGAGAAAATCCAATAAAGAGGAGAGCCAGTAGTAAAGTCAATGGTCCCAAATGTACATAGACAAGTGCCCAAAATATAGAGAGCAAGCAACATTAAGTAAAAGACCTAAATCAAGGAGGCAAGTTGGGATGAAACCTTTGAGTTGAATGTGACTGAGTATATTGTAATGCAAAGGAAGAAGATAGGTAAAAGAAGGGATGAAATAACATAAAAAAATACATTGTTAGAGCATTTCTTACTGTATGCCAGGCACTAAGCTAAACACTGAAGATAAAAATACAGGAAAGCAAAACGTTCCTTGCTCTCAAGGAACTTATATTCTAATGGTAGTATACAATTCATAGATGGGTGCTGAGGTGAGGAAGGGATGAATGACCCTCCAAGGGGCATGGTGAGCAGCCCACAAGTGGCGTGGAGGCCTGGACCTCCAACAAGATAAAGGAAAACTTATCTATCAGGACCAAGGGATCCAGAAGTTACTTGAGAATAGGGTTCTGATGGAAGGGGATGAGGATGATGGCCAGAGAACAAGTGGCATAATAAAGAGAGAGCCAGGAGGTGGGATATAGGTAGCATAGTTTATAGAGCACTAAAATCAGAGTTAAGATAACTTATGTTTGAATCCTACCTCAGACATTTACTAGATGTGTGACTGGGTAAGTCACTTAACCTCTGCCTGCCTCAGTTTCATCATCTGTACACTTCACAATGTTGTTCTAAAGGTCAGATAAGATATATAATGTGTAAATATGTAAAAGACATTGCAAATTTTAAAGCACTATATAACTATTAGATATAGCTAGGTTCCAATTAGTGTGAATAATAAATCCCAAAGAGCTGGCTTTATTCAAATTGGCAGTGTTCAAAATAATCATGTAATAATTGGTTCCAGTTCAATGGAAATAAGCATTGTTAATTTGAATAATGCAACCATTTCATGGAATTCATGATTTGCCCTCATTAGAACCTACCTGTTGTTATTATTAAGAGATTATTCACAGGGTAGGTGGCAAAAATATATATTAGGAAATATATTGGGAAAGTGAAGGTGGTGAAAAAAAACAAAATATGTAAATAAAAGCAAGATATAAAGGTAAAAATAATGACTTTTATTTGAGCTTCCATCTCAGTTTTCCCCTGGGAACATCAGAATTCAACTGATTTCATTCCCTGTAAAAGCCTTTGGCTCCCATGCAAACACTCAAGCTAACAAAACATCAAATAAAGGACAGGCTTTATGTAACTCCCTTCTTCCTTCAGCCTTACTGAGTCCCTTTCTTAAGATATAGTGCAAACATCATCTTATGCTTGAAACCTTTCTTGATCACCCAATTGTTCTTGCCCTCCCTACTAAACAACTTTATATTTAACTACTTTGTATACATTTATATTTATTCTGTGTGTATTTTTAGTGAACTGGCCTCCTTTAGAATGTAAGTCCTTGTAAATAATGATAGTTAACATTCTTTTTTTTTTAATCCCTAGTGCCGCCCTGGAGCATATTAGGCACTTAATAAATGCTTTTTGATTATATTATTAATACCTGTGAGGAAAACATGGCATGATGTATTCAAAAGTGCTTTGCAACTGTAAAGCATTATGTAACTGAGTTATTGGCATTGTTACTAAATGGGCAGAAGAATCCATGATAAGCAGTGGCTCATATACACAGCTAAGGAATGACCATAAGGTACCACTATCCCCCTATGTTTGACTTGTAGCCAACAAGCCGAGCAATCAACATATTTCACAAATCTTTTATCCTCCTAATTGATGTGCCATGTTTGAAATGTTATCCCAAGTATGCACCAAAGTGATGTTATAGGCAGTACTCAGTAAGCTACGTAATTCGAACTATTTTCTAAACACCATAGTGATGGGTTAATAATACTTACCTTTTTTTCACTTGGTATCTGTTATGAAAACTAGGTGGGGTTGTGTGTAGCCTGTGGTTTTTAAACAAAGTTTCTTTCTTTGTATATCTAACTGTTCTAGAAAAGATTCCAGCCCATGGCCTTGTGAACAGCACATTCACTGTTCTGGTCCATGTACCACGTTTTAGAGACATACCTGTAAACTAGATTACATCCAGAGGAGGAGGAGGAGGATCGAAACCATACCATACAAGGATTGGTTAAAAGAACAAAGGATGGCTAGACTGAAAAGTAAAGAAAGAATATGATTACTATCCTTATGTATCTGAAGAGCTGTCATGTGTTAAAGAGATTATTATTAAAAAGGAGGGCCTTTACTCACTTAAGGAGGAGGACATTGGGAGTGTTATGTTGGTAGCTAGTGGTAAATAGGCCAAAAACACCCACAACTTTTTTTAAAAATGCACTGAAGAAAACTAAGTGCAAAAGGAGACACAAACAAAAGAGCAATTTTATTACCACCTTCTTAAATTTACATGTATGTATACATTTCTTTAAAACATGTAAACTGTGTCACAGCTTTACAAGCCTCTTATTTGTGTATCAAAATGTACATGTTTGTGGATTGTCAAGCTCACAATAAGAAAGATTATAATAAATTAAAGCAAGATAACATTTTCTGTGGAGAAGAGCTTAGAATTATTCTGCTTCGCTCTCAGAGGACATGTCAAGGACCAATGGATGGAAATTATAGCGAAGCAGATGTCAGCCCAGTCCAAGGAAGAACTTTGTAACATCACCAACTATTTAGAAAAATGGATTAGGTTGTCTCATGTGGCAGTGAGCTCCTCAGATGAAAGTGTTCAAGCATAAGTTAAGTGTTTGCCTCTTGAGAATCTTCAGCATTGACATTTCCTCATTAAGTGGAAAACACTAGATGACCTCCAAAGCCCATTTCAGTTCTTTGGTCAATCAATAAGATAAAATATAACTGTGATTCTAAGTCTACTAGTTTTCACATAGCAAAATAATTTATAAATGTACAGATAAGTAATAGAAAACCTTTATGTTTTTATGTATTTTCCTCAGGAGAATCCAGCAATGGCAGTTGCAATTAAAACATGTAAAAACTGTACCTCAGACAGTGTGAGAGAAAAATTCCTTCAAGAAGCCTGTAAGTTTTTTCTATTTCAATTCGATTTTTTTTAATAAAATCAAAACAGCTTATTTTGTTGATTAGATTAAAGATCATATTATTACCTCCATTGGACAAGAAGACTTCGTTGTTTATTACCTTTCACAGTGAATAGCTGCGCTGGTATAAGCATATGATGGCTGATTTTTCCAGCTAAATTAAGATGTATGTGGTTTTTAAAGTAAATAGAGGTTCCCCTTAAGAGAGGCCAGTGGAGAAGGAATTTAATTTCCCTGTGCATGTTGGTATGCTACAGAGCTAACGATTTCTGTATTGGAGTGAGTATATAAGTATTTTTAAACTTCTTGCTATAAAAAGTTAAGGCACGCTGGTTGTAAGACTATGAGATTTAGTATGATACACGAATATGGGCAGTTTAAGGTAGAGTAGCACATGACATTTGCAATCTAAATTGAAATTAAATTTCATGTTTTCAAGGTCATTTACATAATCTTAATTATTTTATATGATGCTTTTATTGGCAGAATAAACAATTATAGCATATATGTGAGTTTGGGGCTCCTTTTAATTAAAAGGTTTTTTGGAAAATTACAGTCTTTACTAAAGTACTTGTTACAACGGTTTGAGGGATGGATAGGCTTGCTTTTTTTTCCCCACTTAATAGTCATTTCCATATTTGTCTAGAGTCTCACAGCTAGTCTGGGGGTAAGTTTTGACCTCAGGCCTTCTTGACTCCAGGTCCAGCCCTCTATCCACTGTACCACTGAGCTGCAAGGATGGTTTAGAACCAGATTTTTGAAGACCTTGAATACCAGTCTGAGGAATGTCAGATGTTTTAAAAACCCAGAATAGAGTATTGGTTCAGAACAGTGAAATAAAGAACAATAAAGGAGAATACATTTTACTTTTAAACAATCTCTTTCATTAGGAATATCCTCAGACTCTGTAGGACAGATATTCATTTGTTTGTTCATGAAAATGGACAACTTTCAGAATGTCCCAGCAGTTGTCTGCCCAATACACATCTGTGACATTGAAAACAATTAAGCTAAAAAGTGCTCATTGAATTTTAGTCTCAATTAAGTAAGTGATCAATCATTTCTCGGTGGGAGAGAATGGAAATTCTCAGGAGATGTGATACTGGAGCTGGACAGTATATTTGAACTTGAACAAAATGTAGGATATCTCAGGATAGAAATTGTAGGATTTGGAGCTAGAAGGGACTCAGGTCTTCTAGTCCAAGTTCTTCATTTTAAAGGTGAGGAAATTGAGGTTCAAAGTCATACAGGAAGAAAATGGTGGAGGCAGGATAAAACCCAGGTTTTCTGAATCTAAATCCATTGCTTTCCAGTTACCCCATCCAAGAAAAGGGTGTAGTGTGAGAGAAATTTATGGAGGAAGGAAATTACCCAGCATGTTTAGGGAACAGTGAATAATACTGTTTAGCTAAAACAAATGGGAATATGGGAAACCACCACCACCATCATCATAGCTAGTAAATAAAGTTTGCTAAGTGCTTTACAAATATCTTTTCATTTGATCTTCATGATAGCTCTGGGAGGTAGGCGCTATTATTATTCCTCATTTTATGAATAATGACTTGCTTAGGATTTCACAGCTGTTAAGTGTCTGAGTCAAGATTTAAACTTGGACCCTCTTGACTCCAGGTCTAGCCTTCTATCCACTATGCCACTAAGCTGCAAAAATGATTTAGGGCCAGATTTTAGAGGATCTTGAATGCCAAGCTAAGGAATGTTTTTTCTTATTCAAGGTTTGTCATATATGTAATTGACTGAAAAGATTAAAGCAGGAGAGACTCTATGATATTAGTCCCAGGGGAGTGTAGCACTGCTAGATATCAAGTACTAGCTCAGCTCACCTATCATTTCTCTCCTAGCTACTCAAAATGAACAATTGCCTCCCTCCAAAGTCATATCACACTGAAATGGTGCTAAATGTCACTCATGTGGCATTTAGTATATACTCCCTCATGGTATAGTTTTTCCCTCCCACCCCCCATGTCGTTATCTTCTTTATCAGACTTTGGGCTTTTTCTGGGCAAGAAACTATTCTTATTTACCTTTATATCCTTCATCTTATCTAGAGTGGTATATTACAGAGTAGTCACTCACTAAATATTTGTTAACTAATTCGTTGTAACTGTAAGACTGGTAATATCACTAGATACCCCCTGAACTTCAGAACTAGCGGAGAACCATGGTCTGGTCCCAAGCATCTGGCCCAACAAAAATTTCTATAATTTGGGCATTCTGATTCTAGAAAATACAGGGGGTGCCACAGAAGGTTGGCAGGTCCTAGACAGGACCTTGGAGATTGTCTAATCCAACCTCCTCATTTTATGGAGGAGAGAAGCAAAACATAGCCACAATAAGGATTAATGTCACATTGTGTGTTAGTGCAGCTAAGAGTAAGAGCCCAGATCTTCTGACTCTTTAATAGTTACTATGTCCACGTTACTATGGCTGTATTAGTTTTCCTTGCTTTAAATCCTACCTACCCTTTTTTCTAATAATTTGTTGTTCAGTCATTTCAGTCATGTCCTACTCTTCATGCCTCCACTTGGCATTTTCTTGGCAAAGATATTGGAGTGGAGCCATTTCCTTCTCCAGCTCATTTTACAGATAAGGAAACTGAGGGAAACAACATTAAGTGACTTGCCCAGGGTCACACAACTAGTAAGTATCTGAGGCTAGATTTGAACTCAGGTTTTCCAAACTCCAGGTCTGTCATTCTATCTACTGTGCCACCTACCCACTGTTTTCTAACAACAATAAACTCATTTATCTGGAATACAGTAGAGTATGCAAATAGCTGGCACAGTGAATGGAGCACTGGTCCTTAAATCAGGAAGAGCTGAGTTCAATTCCTACCTCAGACACTTAGCTGTTTGACCTTGGGCAAGTCACTTAACCTCTGTTTACCTCAGTCTCAACTGTAAAATGGAGGTAACAACAGCACCTACTTCGCAGGTGTTTTGGGTGGATCAGATTTTGTGAGCACTTAACACAGTGCCTGGCACATGGTATGTACCATATATTTAATCATTTTGGTTATTGTTCAAATGAAAGTAAACTTTATATGCCTTAGAATACAAATTGAATTACAGAATTTCAGTTTTGAAAGGGACTTTCAGTGTAATCTAATCCAACGCATATCTGAATGACCTTTTCTACAACATCTACAATAAATAAGTGGCCATCTAGCCTTTGCCTGAAGACCTCCAGGGAGGGACAACCCACTAACTACTGAGGCTGTCTATTCCATTTTTGGATAACTATGATTGAGAAGAATTTTTTCCTTACATCAAGCTTAAATTCAACATTTTGCATTTTCCATCCATCATTCCTAGTTATGTGTTCTTGGACCAAACAGAATGAAATAAATTCTTCTTGTATAGAACATTCTTTCAAATGTTGAAAGTAATTTTCATAAGCTGAATATGTTTTCTCTCCTCCATGTTGAATATGCCCATTTTCTGCAACACATAGTCATATGGCACAAGCAAGACCTCTGTCCAGGAGTTCTTTCCCAGACCATCACTCCTACACTGGCTACACTCTCCTCCCTTTCCCAACTTGACCTTTGGTGAACCAGGTCAACTCTATACTTTGTTATTCTTTCAAGTTCATTAAGCCCTTTTCCTGTTGCTGAATTTGCACTACCAAACATCAGCCATAGAATATTCCCATGA